GGTCCGGTCATGGGGGCCTGATCTCTGGGCCTGGGCGCTGTCCCTCAGCTCTTCAGCTCAAGGCCAGCGCTCTACCACTTGAGCCACAGCGCCACTTCCGGCTTTTTTCTTATGTGGTGCTGAGGTGCCAGGGCCTCAGGCATGCAAGGCAAGCGCTCTACCACTGAGCCACCTTCCCAGCCCCAGGACAGTCATCTTCTTGTGACTCTGTCTTTCCAAGGTTTAGTAAATTCTTTTTCTTCTTTTGCTTTAATTGAACAGCTCCATTGCTTCAGCCTCAGTTCACTATGCTTGCCTTTGTGGTTCTCCTAGATTCTCCTGGGACCTTTATAAATGGTCCCTTTTAAATTAAATCCTTCTTCAATTATTCCAAATTTAAGGGGTACCATCTGTTTTCTATTGGGGCTCAGGTTTATGCAGAGATTTAGATAAATTAAATTTCATTCATTGCTTTGTTGGTTTTATTTCTAGCAGTTTACGGTTTTTCAAAAAACAAACGTTTAAGACAAGCATTTGAATAAGGTTTTAGGAAGATGGGAGGAAGTTGAGCTTGCTGTAGGTTAAAGCTGACATTCTGAGTCTTTGTTTTGCATGCAGTAATGTTCAGAGCAATGATGTCCACATGTAAACAACTTTCCCATGGAAATAACTATACATTGCTACCTCATCTCCTCATCTCCAGGGCTAGACAGCTTTTTCTTCCTTAAAGATAACCACCACATAAAGGTCCTTGGATAGCTGAAACGAGTTGCAGGCAATAGGCAATTTTCAGCTAGCAAACTGGGACTTTCCTTGTCAAGAGAGACCCTTGGAATGTGACAGTAGCACAGTTCTTGAATATTCTCTAACCTATGTACATGTTATAAAATTCTTTGGTAACGAGTTGCATGCTCACCCCAGGAAGGAAACAGTGTAGGGAAAAGGTGAGGACAGATACTAAAGAGGAGAGAAAATGGGTGGGGCTAGACCCCTGGAGGAAGCTTAGTATTATAACTTTCTGTTCCTGGGGTGGCAGCAGGAAGGAAAAAAATCCTTTGATTTAGCTCAGTGGAAACACAAAAGGGATACAGCCTCTGGATAGAATACGGAGTAGACATCCATACTTCCTCTATTTCTACTTCAACTTTCAAGCCCTCACGCTTAAAGTCTGGTAAGATAAAGAAATCAATTGATCCAGACTTATTGCTTAACTTTTTTTTTTTGAGACTTTGGACCTTTATATCAGATCTCTGCCTGTACAATAGAGCATATAAAGTTCCTCCACAATGCCTTTAGCTCCTGAGATCAAAAATCTTTTATAAGGACCAAATGGTCCTAGAACAAAATCTCTAGTTCCAAGTAAATAGAATTTAAAATGTAGTTTGGATCTTCTGTTTTTTTTTTTTAATTAAGGAAAAATGGGACAAATGCAAATGGCCCAATTTAGTTGTTACAACTGTCCTCTTTTATAACATATAACTCTGATGTTGCCCACTGGATGCCCTCTAATCCTCTGATCTCCTGGAATCAACTTAACTTGATTGGCTCTCCCAACAAAGTGATTTAAGTTCCTTAAGTGTAAGGCATATCTGTTCCCCCAAACAGCTGAGAACTTAGCAGGTATGTGTATTGGTGTCATGAGTGGCAGTGACTTTCATTCTTGCTGAGTACTTTTGGGTTCTAATTTCTTGTCTCTCTTGGCTTTTAGTAACCCCTATGTGTCCTCACCTCCTGCCTTCCTATGGCTGCTACCTGCTGTTGGTATGGGAATCATAGACTTGGTGAATATTGAGGATGATTACAGCATAGGACAGGAAATAC